GATCTCAAGAACGACGTCCGCTCGCTCGCATGGCAGGGAGAAGCACATCGAGTGGAACTACAGGCAGCTCGAGCAGACATCTGGAATGTCAACATGGGAGTGTCGTTGGCGGAAGCCAATATCCACCACCATGTCTCCTCCGACATCCAAATGGTTCGCCAGGATATACAGTCCCTAAACCACAAGCTGGAGACGATAATGGCTTGGCAGCAGCGCGATATGACGTCGGACGCCTTCAACCAGCAGATATCTCAACTTCTCGTCAAGATAGAACAACTAGAACGCTTACCTCATTTCGCACAACCTGCGGCCGGCCCGCTGCCCTATCCCATGAACGATGGCATGCCCGTCCCTTTTGCGGCGGCAAACGTTGACTTCTACTCCTCGTCGAATGCCTCTTCGCCAAATTTCTCCGGCCATCTACGCACGTCAAGCCGCTCGAGAACCGATCCTGTCACGACATATACACGATACCAAGCGGCAGTCGTGGTACCGGTAGAACCGCAGGAGCTGCCGACTCGCAGGCCGACCCGCAGGATACGATCCGCGTCATTTTCGAACGAAACAATGTCAGAGCTTGAGTCTTTCCAGCAGGTGCATATGCAGGTGTCCGTGGTCAATTCGACGCCTGTGGAGATAGGCCTTTCGAGTGGACCAGTTGATCTCTCGAACTTACCGCCGCGAGGCTCAAGGGAAACATCTACCGACGTGTAAGTGTTACTCCTTCCACAAGTTAGAACGGATTCTTGCACGTCCACGAAACTAAACTTTGGTGTATCTAGTGTGTTCGAGCTTTGCGTACAATCGCAAGCCGCGAATGGGACTAAGGAGTTTACGACGGTGTGCGCCAACGCTTGCTTCCACGGGAATTGGATCAAAGCGGTCGAGAATGGTGAGCACAATGAGGGTCTTTTTGCCTGTCTGTGTGAACCATACCCACACGAGGACGAGGATTTTGAGCCCCATGCCCAAGATCTTGAAAAGTATATCTGTAAGTCACATTTGTAATCGACATTTTGATCCAACTACGACGTACCGTAATCTCGCTAACGCACCGTTGTTAAAATTTGACAGTGACTAGTTCTACAATCGGCTGCCATTATCATGGGCCGATGCAGTGGATTCTCCATAATGTTGGCGACCAGGAGCATAGGCCTAGAAAGGCCGTCACACTCGGGATACGAAACTTAAGTACTCAGAGTGAGTTGAACTAGTTTGAGACAAGATGCCCTCTTTATCAATACTGACGTGTTTGACAGAGGAAATGCAGTTCGAGAGAACTTTCATCGAGCCGATATCATTCAAGACCGCCAAAACAGTCCTACAAGCGAACATCGGCTCATTTCTAACGTATAAGGTGCCGGATGAGGAGGAAGGCGACCAACTTGCAATCCTAAACTCGATGGCGTGAGTGTTGAGTCTTAAAATTACATACTTTACTCATGGGTATTTTGCGTGGCCTGCTAACGCAGTATCTTTTGTCTCTAGAGATGATTCGTTCACCGCTGGTCTCGAGACGGTTGCCTTCACGCTTGGCGATGACCCGAGGGCGCCAAGAGAAACACTGGAACGAAAGGTGAAGCATACCAACATCCTTCATTACAAGTCGATAGGAGTTAGCGATATCGAGCGGAGCCGGACCCTGAAGCGAGATTCTTTCAAGTATTTCGACTACGTGGAGATCTTGGTTGGTGTCGCGCCTATTGCGAATAGTGAGAACCTCGTGAGCTTCATCAAGATACACTGTAAGGATGCCCAATAGCGCACATTTTGCGCAAATTTTTAACGTCATATGCACTGACTAATCATTCCGACTCAGTGGATGAGGTGGGCCTGGATAGCAACAATAGCCAAGATGACTGCGTGGTCCGGATATCCATGATACGGGGAGAGGCTACATTTCCCTTGAGGGAGAAGCCTGAAGAGAGCATATGCGGACATGTAGAATTCAAGTTCAAGAATGCTACAGGTAGGTCACTGTACCTTTTGTCTCTGTTCATGCGTACGAGCTAATATGCTGGGTGATGATAGCGGCGAATGAGTTTCTGCAGCGTCTGAGGGATATGAAGAATGAACTGCACACGCTGAAAATCCAACACGCGAAACGAAACGAGCAAGTGATGGTCAAAATGTTCGCAGAGCACATTGCTGCTGCGGCCGATGACATCCAGATGAGCGGCGTTGAGATAGTTGTAGTGTGGGACGAGAGGAGAAAGAAAGGTAGAATCTTGGCAAGATCGCAAGATGGGAATTGCTACCTGTCGCAAACTCGTCAGTTGTCCCTGGTCCATTTTCGCGCTTGTTTCGAGGCCCGTATACTGACACTGTTGGGATAGTGCATCTTGACTTCTTCGAACGATTCGCGGAGTTATCGCGGGGTGATCTTTTCCATGGATCTGCAGAAGTATATCAACCAGCTGCACAGACTAGGGGTGACCGAGTAAAGAAGTATCCTTCTGGAGTTGGGCGCATCCAGTTCAAAGATTCGTCAAGTAAGCAACCTAGCAATCCGTTCGTCACTAGTGCCCTGGTAGAGATGACTGCTAATTGTCTGAATTTGATCAGTGGACGATATGTTCTACGCTCGGTTGACGGAGTCTGCGCGCCGCTTCGGGTTCTCGATGTCCGAGCCGAAATCTCTCCCGGAGAGCAAAAAGCCCAAGGATAGAAAATCTGACGAGCGACCGATCTTGCAAAGGAGAGTAACGCAGCTCGAAAAGGCTAAGAATTGGCGTTTCTCGGCAGAACATTATCGAAAGATCGTCACAGAGACCGTCGCTATAGAGGAGGCATCTCCCGAGATGATGGCTGCTCTACCGAAGCAGAATCTCTCAAGACCTCTTGATGCAGAAGAGTTGCTGGATCTGCTGAACCAGACTGAGGAAAAGCTGATCTATGCTATGGAGGGTGCGGACGCCTTCGAGGCTTTGGCTCCCTCGCAGCCCAGCGAGTGGACATCAGACGATTTGACTGTCCGTAAAAGGGATCGCAGAAAAGCGGGCCTCACCCGTCCTCAAGATGAGGAAAACGATGATGGAGATGCACCTCCACCTTATAGTGCTAGTCGGGTGGAGTGGCGCGGAACCCCACAGACATCACAGACCACGCCCGGGCTTTTGTCTCCTCAGCCTGAGCCGCAGAATGTGCTGAGGAAACATCGATCATTTGATTCGAGTCAAGGTGGAAGACGGCTGCAGATAGATTCGGAGAAGGTGCTTATCCCCGATGATATTTGGGATAAGCATGGCGCCGGCGGGATCCATCTCCGGGCGCAGAACAACCCGCATCACCAGCGATCACAATCAACGAGCGCCTCAGATCACCCTCAGGGGATATCAACTCCCGACAGCGATGTGAAGAGATCGCGGGGTATCAGTATCACACCTACCGAGAATATATCGGACTCACGCGATATCGTCGGGTCGCCAGAAACGTATAACGAATCGCAAGACTTTTTAGCATCCGTTGCCACTACAATCTCGGTTACAGATGACACTGGAGCGACAGCTACACCCCCGCAAAATCCCTCCACCGATGTACCCGATACGAAGCAGGAACATGTGCAGGCGTCACAGCAGACGGAAAGCCGAACGGAAAATCTCGACCCATACGCTGCGGATCTCGGTCTCAAGTTTCGGGTGATGGCCCCGAAGACCCTAACAAGGGCGTACTGGCTTCTCGTCGACGTAGACGACAAGCTACCCAAAGGCACGCTCGTATGGGTTGACGAGTCCGCGGCGAGTAAGTCCACCTTGTTCTGCCCAAGAAAACTAGTCATAATGCTAACGAATTCGCCTCTGCCTGCTTAGAACCATTCATGGATGGTGAACATCGTATAAACATCACACGGTATACTGGTGAACCCTCGGCTTGGGTGTCCAAGAGCGTGTTGAAACCAGGCCGGTACTACGCCATGAAGCAAAGGCAAAGGATGGTGGCAGACGGCGACACAGTCAAGCTGGCGCGAGACCAAATCGTCGTACCACTTGAGGACGACGAGGGTTCTAGCCCTGACGAACTTGAGCTTACAGTTGTTCCTTTGGATCAGAAATGGTCGGTAGTGGTGGAGAAGGACTGGCTGAGAGAGGTGAATCTCACAATGCCAATGCCACCGTAGGTTGAAATTGAAAATCATCGCATCAAAAGCGTTCATTGAACTTGGAGCTTTGCTTGGATGACAAATTTTTATCAATAAATCGAATATATCGGTGCATGCATTTCCATTTATATTTATCACTATATATATTCCTAGTAGAGCATCTAGCGGTTCATCATTACTGAGCACCTACCCATTTCTACTATAGAATGTCCACCTATCGATGAGATATCTCTTGTAGATAGCTAATTACAAAACTCTTATTCTTTACGCTTCTAGAATTCTGTCTAGCTTCTGTAGCCAATACTCGTCTGATCATCTGTGTGCAGAATTCTAGGAGTTGCTCTAGATCTACTTCGGAGATAACCGAGCCCTTCTCTCGGCCGGGATGTTCCCTCTTTACGCTTATAAGCATTGGGGACCTTGCCTTCGCTGTTGAGTACCGTATGGTCGATGCACCTGATACAATTGATAGTCATAGAAACCTGCCTGGACAAACAATTTGGTGATCGAGATCAAGGTGGCATTGTCTAGGGAAGAGATTGTGGAGAGTCGTTGGTGGTCCCTCTGTTCAATGTGACACCTACCAGAAAGGGAAGTCAACGCAGGTGACTGTTCTTCCAACAAAAACAACACGTGTATATAGATGGTCCCAATTCGACGCCGCTTGATTAAAGAGTCACGACAACCAGCTAATAACAACTGATAACCGTGCCATCTGGATAGAGAAGTTGGCCTTTTATTACTCGTACGATAGGGCTGAACTCCGGAGACATTCCAGCCGAGATGCAACAGCGCATCAACTATCCGCCCGAGAGAACTTACGCCCGAGAGAGTATCGGCCGACAGACCAAAAAGCGCAGGCGCGAAACCCAGCAACCGACGACCAAAAAGGTAAAAAAGATGGAGCAATGGCGATTCGAACGCCAGACCTCATCCAATCGAAGTCCTAGGACACGCTAAGGAAGCGCTCTACCAACTGAGCTATAGCCCCAATCTGGCATCATCGGATCAGATTCTACCTCATGAATTCTCTCAGATCTCGTGACGTCGAGATTCGCCTATTCTTCATGCTGTATGCAGCTAGTGCACGTTTCGGCCGATATCAAGGCAACGCTACTCGGCTCCCCTGTCACGGGAGAGGGCTAGCTGCACGAGAAACCTCAATGGGAAGGGGTATTTAAACTTGATTTTACAGTAGAGGATCCTACCTTGTTATATATTTCTCCTCTTTTCCAGTATAGATATCACCCAGGTGGATCATAAATGCTGATTGCGAGCAACCTGCGAAGAGTGTGTATCCAGGTTCGACAACGCGCAAATTACAACACTATCCGACAACTACAGCCGCACGGCTATCCGAGCGGGAACTACCTTAGTCTACCGAGGCTACCGAGAACAGACCTCAGGAATCTTACCGGACTTCAGAGGCTGATCGCAATGACGGAAGAGGAGAGGTTGTGTGAGCAAGTCAAGGTCGTCGCTGAGGATAACAATGCTATGCTTAACAACGCGGCTGGTGGTCCGTCGATAGACGGTAAACAGGCCCCCATACAACCGGAGCCTAGCAAGAAGGAAGAGGAGAAGTCATTACCTAAACTGTCTGCGGCTGAGTTCCGAGAGTACAATCGAATAGCAGTCCTCATGAATCAATATGTAAGTATCTCGATTGTGACTAGTGTTGTCCTTTATCCAACCTTGGCGAGCACTGTTGACCATGACTATGATGTTGGTGTAGCACAATCATTTCCGGAACACTTGGAACGAGATCCTCGATGGCGTTAAGACGTCGAGACCGAAGAATCAGGTACGCGTATACTCCCAGACAAAAATAAAGATGCTGCGGAAAACTATTCAGGGTGCCTTAGCTTACATGTTGCGATTGCTGCGTAGACTCTCCGTCAATTCCTCAGCCTTGCGCAAGCATTCTGTCGGATGTTAGGTACGTCATTGACATGCACCGTCAACTGCACTTCATACTGAGAACTTACTGACAATGCGTCGTAGAAACACATCATAATATCGAAGAGACCTACGTATTCCCGATCCTTGCCAGAAAAAGTAAGTTCCGGATATCGACCACGATACACATCCCAGAAACCTTGGGAGTTCAATGCTAATGCGATGTATATATAGTGCCCGCCTTCCAGAAAAACAACAAAGAGCACGGCGAGATGATCAAGCAGCATCGCCAGATACACAAGGTAAGCTCTTGCTTGCCCCGCTTTGACTACGTATTCCAGCTGACTGAATACCTAGGGGTTGGATGTGTTTTCGGAGTATGTCGATTCTGTCAGAGCTGGGCAAAGAGACTTCGTTGCCTCAGAAATGCTAGAGATTATGGAATCATTTGAGAAGGTATTATGGCAGCACTTGGATGAGGAGGTAGTGCAACTTGGGGCGGAGAATATGAGGAAGTATTGGACAATAGAGGAGCTTCAGCTGCTCCCAATGTAAGCATATAAGTTGGCGTTCTTATGACAGTGGCATAAACATCATTTGCAAGCATAGCCCCATAGACTCTTTAGATGTCATCGCAGTCCGTCGGACTTACGCGAAGCTTATATATAGACCGTATGTGCAACTAAATCTGTTATGCTATTTGTACAGTGTATATATATGGCTGAACCCTGCTCATACGTGACTTGAGTAAGACGAAACATATGCCAGTAGCGCCTGACGCCTAGTCTAAAGAAAGCCAGTACCGTTGCCTGACACCAGCCCAGGTCCAAGCTTTAAACCCATTGAGGTAAACATCCAAGCTCGAGCATAGGAGCCTGACCAAGAAAGAAACAAGTGAGACCTAATCTACCCAAACCAAGGAAATGCGGCTAAAGTAGCGGCGCAATGATGGAGTGGCGTCTGCTACGACGGGATACTGATCGCGCCTGAGAAACTAGTCGCGAAGCCCTAGAGCTAGACCGTGAAACACAACGTCGAATGGAATGCCATCTGTGCTAAGATCAGCGATTATTCTCTCGTTCTTTGTAGGATAAGAGTCTTTACCTCTTCTTTGTGGTACGGCTGAATCTCGAAGCCATGGATTCGCGACTTGCCTCTGTTTCTGTCGGAGATCTCGGAACGGGATCTTCGTGCCCCTTTAAGAAGCACGCGCGTCGCTGCTCTTCCATTTCCGCAACTGTCGGTGCCTCTACGGTCACTTTTTCAAGTAGAACAATCTTCTGAACCGTAATTCCAAGAGAAAAGTCTCCATGAGACAGGGGCTTGGGCGATACCTTCCTACGCCTTGCAGACAGGACACTGCCCTTCTCCTTGAGCGGTTCCAAGCCATTGTTGTCATCCCGCTCTAAGTCGCAGCTGCTTTCAGTCCTCACCCGAGCTTGTCCGATGACATGGCACAGCCAGCTAGAACTTCTTAGGTCGGTCTTGACGAACTCGTCCCATTGCAGGAAAAAGCTTTCCATGTCCTCCTGTTACGTTTACGACCATCAGTCGAGCATTCCTCCAAAGTTATATACAAGGTTTGAACGGAACCCACATCGACAAGTTGAGGAGGATAAGCCGGTGGTGGTCGTGCCACCATCCAATAATGATCTCCTTTGAGTACCGATCGGCATGACCCAAGAGGTATTGAGTGGGTCTTCGTAAGTTGATGGCCCATCTCAACCATTACTCGTATCGGGATGCCCAAGCTGAAGAAGTCGCGCCTATAATAACACTTGTGGTTAGCAAACACAATTCGTTTCCACGGTGTGCCTAGCTAGTTAAACGTCTCCAAACGTACCCGTACTTAGAGGCGTTCCGAGTCCCTGTATTCCCGACGGCGTCCGTTGATTTGACCAGAGATGCCGAGCTAGGGGCTTTCTGGATGATGACGTTCTGGAAACACAGGTAAGGATTCCCATCGACATCAATCTCCTTGTAGAATGCGAATTTCTTTGGCCGCGGATTCGCGATATTGGGCAGGAAGTTTGGCCATTCCTTCTGCCGTAGCGCCCAGTCGTTCGAGAAGTCTGTCAACGGACCCACATCGAATGTTAGAGAGGAAACATTATACGGGTTGACGGCGACCGGCGTGCTGGATAATAGCGATCCGACCATATCTGCGAAATGTCGTAAGTTGTCAGGCTGCTTCCCTACGGATGGTGTAGCGGATAGATTGGCGAGCCAGTCGGAATCGCAAGCTGTCAGCTAGCAGCCAGCTTACTAGCTAAAGCTCAAATAACCAGCAAGCTTCACGCGCTTGCCTTTACTAGGCTCCAGCAACCTCGCATAACGCAAACCAGAAGAGTGGCACCGGCACTGTAAGAGATGCTGCAGGAGCGGGCCTGGGAAAACGCCAAAGCGGGTGTTTCCCACGGCTTTATAAGTACCACTATCGTGGGATCTGTGCCGTCGACGCTTGCTTGGGTTTGTTGCTAAATATTCGCGGCCGTGCCCTACATATGCATGCGGCTACTGCTGCTGCTGGGACTCCCCTCTGATCTCAGCAGCCAGCTGATAAGGCGCTATCTCGGATCGACTAGGCTATTACTTATTTGCAGGGTTCGTATGATATTGGCCTGCGCTGCTTCGTATATTATCTGAGGGTGTTGAACTGGAAAATCGCCACCATTTATTTGCCGGCAGGGGAGTCCCGACACCCGCAATGGTCTCGGGGACTGCACCTGCAACTTCATGGCGCGAGCCGGATCTAGCTTGGCGAAAATGTGACTAAATATTCTGCAGGATGCAACCACTACGGGTGTTTTCTGTCGATATCAAAGTCAAGCTTGAAGATGTGGTCTCAGAGGATTCGACAGGGGAAGCTACCCCTGAGTATCAGAAAGACGGCACAGCTGCTTAGAGCGGGGTAGCTTTTCGCGCTGAACAGTCTGGGTTATAAGGCACCTTCTGTTTGGCTCGATGTGCCTCGGGAGGCTCAACGGAGTCTATCATGGATCCAGAGGTGAGGTTTTGGTTGCTGTGACCCACTAGCTAGCCGGATGCCCAATTGTAAGCGCGCGCGACGGACGGCTATTATTAGGCAGCCTCTCAGAGGCCGTCGCCGTCGAAAGGCATCCTTGCGCGTGAAGTTCCAGGACCGTGGAATAGGCGTCGAACCTTCCCTCAAACGGAGTGGACATGTGCCCTCTTTTGACTTGACGGACGGCGTCGGCGTGCATGCTGTAGGCCCATGTCAGCTGTGGATGAACTCGGAGTCGCCTGCTGACGGGAGTGGAAGCGAGCATCTCACCGTCAGTTCTCGGTCTTACACTGCTATGCTGATGGATTGCGTACTGACCTTCAACCGTGGTCGCTAGACTACGAAGATTCAGCCTGGCCCAAGGAAGACACGACGGATATAATTTTGTGAGACGTCGCGTCGAGAGTCGACTGCAAGAGCCAGATCATTCTTCCCGTCGCTTGAAAGGTAATGCAACGCAACACACATTTGCGACATCCCGGATGTCATTTCATTCGTACTCACGCGCGCCTGGAATTGTAACAAGCAAAGCATCTGGCGAGCGCATCCCAGGAATGCACACTTCAAAGAAGCCGGTTACATACAAAAAGAAATCTATTGCACAGCAGTCATCGTTATTTACAAAGCTATCTGGGTTGTTGGAAGTAATTCCAGCTTCTCAAACTGGAATATTCCGTCTCGGCTGTCTCGGTCAAGTTTCTGTATCGCAGACATGGTCTCTGTTTCTTGAAGCTCTTCCCCGCTGGCTAGACTTGCCGATATGCCGCGACGAGTCAAGATGAGACAATAAGCTCTCCTCTGCTCGAGGCGAAGCTCGGCTCCTTCCGCGAGGTTCATCAAGCGCAATTCTGGAGCTCTCAGAGTCTTGTCGAGAGAGTGGGCTCACCCGCGATCGAACCCGTTGGAAGAATTTTTTCGGGAGGAAGCTTCCTATCCTGTGAAAGCTTTTATGAATCAAGCGATAGACCGTCTCAAGCAATGCAAAAGGCGTAGATAGCCAGTTTCTAGCAACTTGTGTGACCTTGCTCGCAATTTTGAGTATCTCCCGCGGCCAACTCAGAACTCCT